TTACATTGAATATGACTTTACCAGTTTAGTTAATCAATAGGTTATTACTGAACACCAAATAAGTCCTTAGTACCTAACCAGAAACTGAAATTTCTGTTATCCTGGAATCGATGTACCTCTTAAGATATGATAAAACGAACTGTAAAATATTATTTTTTGTTTTCTTTTTAATTAATGATGTTTATAAAATGAACATCAAGAGATTGACTTGTCAGTTGATACAACGTTCCTTTTCAACACCATCCGTCTGATGTTTTTTTAAGTGCTGAACACATTAAGATGTACTGCAAAAAACACACTTGCTAAATTAGAGAGAACTTTGTGGAAAGAGAGAGAAGAAAAGAACTCAGAACTCATGATTTTGCTTAGCACTAAAGTTTTGTAATGAAGTGAAATCCACTGCAGTTGAATTTGGTCTTTGTAGAGATGGAGTGGGGTATTCTATCAATTTGTGGTGCTGCTACAGAGTGGGAGGAGATGTGGACGCTGCACTCAGCACACAGTAAATACGAACCATGACATGTTGGATACACCCATCTGAGGAGTGACCATGATGACAATTACTATACAACTTCATTTTTCATCTTCTCTCTTTAAAAAAACACTAAAATGGACCGTGTTTCTTCCCTTGGATCAGGCTGCTTGTATAAAGTTAAAATCAAAACATGACTTAGAGAATATAAATTTTTGGTGAGGTTAAATCCAAAAACATAGTGTTTTAAAATTGATTAACTGAATATATTCACAAATAAGATTTATTTGTATAATAATTTTGGCAAGCACAGTCAGTTTAAACAAATACAGTACTTCCCTACTATATGCCACATGCTATGTATGTGTTTTTCTTTATTTTTACAACTGCAACTAAAGGCTGTGAAATCAGTTTAGAGCATCAGAAAAGAAATGACAGAACAGAACACATCAATCCCACTGGGTCAAATGTAACAAGAACACACACTAGATCATGAAACCTGCTTCAGTTATACACATACCATACCTATATTCGAGAGTATATGAAGCCACAGTGTAAATATGTACCAGTGTGGATCATGGTCAGAAGTTTGAAATCACTGCAGTATGGACTGTTTGCGTGTTATGATATTCTTAAGAACATGTTCCTGGAGAAGCATAGCCGCTCTGCAAGGCTAAATTAAATTCCAGGGTCACTCAAAGGAAGACAGCGGCATCGCTGAGAGGTCAACGAATGCAACTGAATTGAGTCTTGGATGACAGGAGAACTTGCATAGGGAAAGGAGGAGTCTGGGTAGTGAGTTGGGAGCTACCGTCAGAGAACTCTGACGTATCTAGTCCACAGCCCAGTGTGTACATATGTGAGTCCTGATGTAGGCTACAAAGGCAGAGTTATCTCCTTTATCCATAATTTTACTTTTAGCACTTTCAGTTAATTACCTATTGTCAACTGAGATTTGAAAATTTTAAATTGCAAATTCTAGAAATAAGTGTTACACTGTGCGCCATTTTGAACTGATGACAGCGCTGTAAAAGCTCACAGGGTGTGCTTCACTCTTCCACCCCCTTGCTTCACTGTGCCCTCACTCTGTAGGACACCCATCAGCCACTTACAAGTTGATCTGCTGGTCTGGTTGTCAGATGGGCTGCAGTGTTAATCCTGCCTGCATTCAGATACCCTTTAACTTACTGAATAATGCTATACAGTGAAACAGGACGGATGCTGGTGATTTGGGTTTGTCAAAGCCAAAGGAGCACTGTGAGGAAAAGGTGAAATTTTTCAACAAGAAAATGAAAAAAAAAATCTTTTGTGGCATTTTGCTAAAATCTGTAGCAAGAATGAACCTATCCATGAAATTGTAAAGCAGGGAAAATTTGTGATAGTTTGGCTATTAAACCCCAAGCTGTAAAAGTTATCGCCATACTGTTTAGTTAAAATGTAATCTCTCTCTCTCTCTCTCTCTCTCTCTCTCTCTCTCTCTCTCTCTCTCTCACACACACACACACACACACACACACACACACAATATACTATGCACATTTCAAGATTTCGAGATCTGGGAAGGCATTTCCCACAGACAAGGGACACCCAGTTATCTGGGAAGGACAGATGAATGAATCTGTATTTGATAGTTAAAGATAGGAGAAAGACATAAGAAAGAAATCAAATCTTCTAAAAATTGAATTAAATATGGTGTTGTTGTGAAAGACCTCCGTAGCAGGAGACTCTCACTCAAGTCTTGGGATAACACGACCCCCCTCCCCCCAGGAACTCATGAGAGACTGTCCTTGCTGCAATCACATGGGGTTTATTGACAGGACAGGAGCCAGTGCACTAGGGCCGAAATTCATTTCCCATGCAGGGGTAGAGAGTTCGATCGGAGTAGCTAGGAGAAGGAGTATTTAAGGGAAGAAATCACAGCCCAGTAATCCAAAGGGGATAGGGAGGGTGTCATTGGAAAATTCTGAAAATACCAGTGATAATCACAAGTGGGTAACTCCCTGTTTCTCAAGATTATTCTCAAGATTATAATCTAACTTTATCTTCAGCTAGTTCCTAAAACAAGAGTCACTGAACCAGCTAACCTAGATTTTTTGGCTCTTCTCTTCCTGCTTAGATTTTTGGCTCTATTTTTTCTGCTAGAAGGGTCTGGATTTACCCAGGTCTTTCCGTTGGTGAGCTGCTTGTGGTGATGGGCAGTGTGAGGATGGATTTGGTGGGAAAGAAGTCTTTGGGTACCTGGAGGCAGAAGAGGAACCGATAGGCAGTGATGGGATTACAGAGGAGGGACAGGAACAGTCCTGCCTGGCCTACCCCAAAGGCTCTTAGTCACTTGATGGAGAACAGTGATAGGCATCAGAATGATAAGGAATGTGTTTTGAAAAAGCATCATTGTGATACTAATTGTTTTCTTTTACACTTGATAAAATGTTTTCAGGTGGTAATGTGAACCTCATTTGAAGTTGAGAATCCCTGTCTCCAAAGCACTCCCTCATTCTGGGTCCTTTGAAGAGCTGGTTGTAGAGATGAGTGAAATGAGGCCAGAAGACCAGTGAGTGACAGAGGCAGAACCAGACAGCTAGTCTTCCCAGCTCCTGGTCGCAGCCGTTCCATAAGAGCAAAGAACTGATGCCTTCCGTTTGAAAATGGAACACAGGCCAAGGGAAAGAGAGCTGGAAAAGCTCAGTGCACGGGTCCAGGTACACACTCCCCATTGTGTTCTTTCTGGCAGACTCTGCTGCCGAGAGGCTCAAGAAGCAGTTAGGCTGGGACACAGGGGCCTTCTGGTCTCGGAGTGGCGAAAGTATTACTGTGACCACGTCACAGTCCAAATTACGACAATATACAAAGGCATATTTTGTGTTTTACACAAGAGTAAAACAGCAAAGCACTGGGTGGGGTTATATTCTTAGCTCTCTCTACAGAGAAGCTCTTTTTCCTGTGTTTCAGCACATCTAAGCCATGAAT